GAGCATCTTAGGCCTTTTCATAGCTAATCTGTTTGGAATTCTTTGACTTGGGTGGAATAAATGTATTATATGAGAGGCTCTAGCGAGCACAGTGTGATGGTCGCTTAGTCTGACTGTGGCTGTGTCTCACATATCACTGTACCCAGTCAATACTCTATTATTGCAACTTAAGTGGTTTGCTACAGTATTCCACGCACTGGGTATTAGAAGCTGTGTTCCCTCATTTCCTAAGCAATAATGGTATAAGCAGTAAGCATTTTTTATTATAAAAACTAACAATTGCCTCCTCAGAGCTAATGGTTTTTTATATACTACTGGTACCCAGGAGATTTAGTTATAAATCAGAGCAAAATTGAATACGAAATGTACTAAACTTTGGCAGAATTAGATTTTCTTTGTAAAGGTTGAAGTCTTCAGTTTTTCTTGAAATCAAAGTTTGGTTTTCTTCCTGGTGCCTTTATTTCTATTTTATTTAAATGGGTGTGTTGTTTCCTGATTAAAGTTGATTCAGAATAATTATAACAATAATAGTTTATAGCATGGGCCTGGGTAACATTCTTTATAGCTCCTGGAGGCTGTCTCATCCAGCCTTTCCGTCATCTGTTTTCAAATGTGAACCATATTTGAGACGCAGAAGGAGTAATAGTTATGAACCACATGACAAAGACTGTCATGTGAAAGATCATTTCTCTCTTCAAATGACTGCTGTTTTCACAGATCAGGGGCTCTGTGTTCAAGAAAGAATTCACTTGGTGAATTGCGTATCTACTGATTTTACCGTAAATAGAAGGTAAGAAAGGGCAATAGTTTCTCTTATGAGTAGACGTAATTAAGAGTTGCTAGTGTCCAGGTAGCAAAAGCCCCAGTCCCAAATAAAGGTAGAGTTAGAGCTGCCCTGGGGTGATAGGAGCTGGAAGTTCAAAGTCAGCACAGTCAAACTTACATTCTTATCTCTTTTAGGAGGTCTCTCAGTTTCTCCTTTTTCCTCATCTTTGCACATTCACTTCATTTTTCTCTTTCTTTCTGGGCTTTTTCTGCTTCTTTATACATGGTAGAATATGGCAGCCTCACAGGATCCATCCCAGGTTGCATATTTTCAATCCCAGTGACTGGTCCCAGCCACCAGGCCAGAGTCAGCCCGGAGACCTTCAGGAGTGGGGCCACATTTAAATTAATGGGGAGTGAAGGGGATGAGTGCCGTGGCTTACACCTGTAACCCCAGCACTTTGGGAGGCTGAGGCAGGTGGATCACTTGAGGTCAGGAGTTTGAGACCAACCTGGCCAACATGGTGAAACTCCATCTCTACTAAAAATACAAAAATTAGCCTGTAATCCCAGCTACTCGGGAGGCAGGAGAATTGCTTGAACCCAGGAGGCAGAGGTTGCAGTGAGCTGAGTTTGCACCACTGCACTTCAGCCTGGGTGACAAAGCCAGACTCCATCTCAAAAAAAAAAAAAAAAAGAGGGAGTAGAGGGACAGTGACAATAGGCGGCATGTGTTTCTTGATTAAAAGTATTGAAATTGATAATATTTGTGATAAAACCAATTGCAGCTACAGTCTGCAGGCCAAATATAGTCTGGAGGTTCCCTGTTTAAGATCCCTCAACAAGTTTTTCTTAGACCACTCTCCAAATATAAGGGACACCTAGCTTCATCCACAGGGCTAGAATTAGGATGATGCAAGGGCAGCTCTTGTCTCAGGTGCAACATTTAAGAGGATCCATGAAAATATCAATAATCTAGATAAATAATGCTTCTATGTAATATTAAAAAATCAAAGCAGTGTAAAAATTCCATAATGAAAAAATACAAAATTTTAAGGAAGGTAGGATTATTATTACTGATTTTCCTTTTCCTTCAGGCTCCAGTATGGCTTAGCATAGCTTGTTTGGCCAGGTGTTGACCTATAGGCCAGTCAGTCAAGGGTAGGGGAGTAAGTTCCATCAATAATATGAGGGGTCAGTTCTCAGCAGTAGGGACATGGGCCAGGCAGGCACACCTGAAAAAATATCTGCTAAAGGATGTGTGTTGGAGCTTTATACTTTCTTCTGAACTATGGCCCCTGGATGAGTCAGTTTAAGTTGTCATAACAAAATACTATAGAATGGGTAGCTGAAACAATAGAAATATATTTTCTCACAGTTTGGGGGGCTGGAAGTCTGAGATCAGGGTGCCAGCATGGTTAAATTCTAGTGTAGGCTTTCTTCCTAAACTTCTAGATGGTTGCCTTCTCACTGTATGCTCACATGACCTTTCATCCACGCGTGGAGAGAAAGAAATAGAGAAGGAGGGAGGGAGGGAGGGGGGAGAGAGAGGGAGAGAGACGGGAGGAGAGAGAAAGAGAGAGTGTGGGCATGAGCAATGAGAGAACAAACTCTCAGGTGTCTCTTCTTCTAAGGACACATGTCCCATCATGAGGGCTCCACTGTCATGACCTCATCTAACCCTAATGACCTCCCAAAGGCCCCATCTCCAAATATGGTCACGGTCACCATGAGGTTAGGGCCTCAATATGTGCACTTGATGGGAGAGTGGGAAACATTCAGTCCGTATTAGCCCGCAAAGATTAGAAATACACTTCAAACATTTTTAACTCTTCTTTAATAGTCTTTCCTGGGTTTCTCATGTGTAAATTTCTACTTTTCTTGGTTTACATTTAGTTATTTTTAGACAGTGTTGTCAAAATATAAGCCCGATAAATTAAGTTTAGATTTTGTCATTGACTTCTTATTTCAAGTAAGTTGCCACAAGAGTAGCTTTTTGTAAAGCTGAATTAATCATCAGCAGACTGACTCAAAGATTTAACTAGAAAATGAGGCTCGGGTGCTTAACCATTTCTGAAACCCCCAGGACCTGACCAATAATTACTCTTTCCATCCATAAGAAGACAGAAACATTTAGCATATGGTTTTTCTTTCTCGTCTAGAATCAATCAGAATGTGTCACTTTGTAGCTTGCTATGGTCAATCAAAATGTTGTGCCTAGTTCTTCTAAATGTAAATCTCCTAAAGACATTTTTCAGAAAAGATTGTCAAATTATTAAGTGATAGGAATGTTGGTAGAGAAAATAAATTCCTTTAGACATTTTATAGGTACTGAAAAATTAGGAAATGCTTTTTTTTTTTTTTGACTCTCCTCAAGGGATGTTTTGGTTTTGATTTCAAACACCATATTGGAAAACATTTTAACTGTGAATATAATTCTGAAAACACTTCGAGCCCTGACAATATCTGTCCTGGGCAGCTTCGTATCAAGCTGGCAAAACAGATCCCGAAAAACCAGGGGAGTATTTTTGTTTTCAGAACGCTTTATATGCAATTCCCCAGAAACAGCTCAAAAAGATAGATACTCTTTTTCTAAAAGGTTGCTGGTTTAGCACTTCCCAACTTATAAAGGTTGGAATTTCCCACTGGCTCAGCGGAGAGATTTGTATCAGTTATTTTAGATTCACTTAATAGCACATTTGTGTTTGAGATGAAGCGTGAGTCCCACCAGACGAAGTAAGATTGTTCTTAAAAATTGGCCTCCTCCTCCCTCCTCCCCCATGTATGCTCAGATCTACAGTTGCGTCTTCTAAATGTTATTCCACAGCTAGATATGACATCCCATCTTAAACCAGCAGCAGTAACTGCTGTTTCTCTTTGTAGAGAACATGGCTGGATGTACAGCATGCGGATTTGTGAAGGCTGGAGTTTTTCAGTTCCTTAAGTGAAGCCCTCACTATAGTTCCCCCCACTTTCATGCCCGTGTGTTAGTGTAGATCAGAGGGAGGGTGAAGAAAGCTGGTGATACTTGGAAAAGTACCGTGAAGCCTCGTACAAAACACAGCCAGCACACTTGCCTCACCACCAGTAATTTCAGGGCATTCAGTGTATTTTATTTTCATTTTTGCAGGGACACTCATCATGCTCTATCTTGTTTAGTTTTTCCCTACTAAACTTCCATGCTCCTTAAAGGCCAGGCTTCCTTGCAACCTTGTATCCTTCACCACCCCTGGTATTGCATGTGAAGGTCACTCAGAACTGTGCTGAATGCTTGAAGATGCTGAGTGTGTTTGAATTGATAAAAAGTTCACTTAGGGGAAGAGAAGACTATTATTTATTGAGTGTTTATGCCAAACATTTGACATAGATGCATTTTTCCTGTGAATCCTCACAATAGTCTTATGAGAAAGACAAACTTATTCCCATTTTGCCAAAAATGGAGAAACTGAGGCTTTAAATAGTAAATTGCTCTGCATCAGTAGAGTCAGCTGGACCCAGGGTTCTAAACGAGTCTATCTGGTTTGAAGCTGATGTCATCAGGCTAGGCTGCATCTGCAATTAGAACCAAGGTCCCAGATTCATATGCCTGTGGGGCGCGGAATACAGGGAAGGAGCCGTAGGAGCATTGGGGTGAAGGAGAACCCCTGCCTACAGACTTTTGTCCAAAGTGAGTGGCCTCTTAGTTTCAGCCAACTTTACAACAGTAAGAGAGAGAGGGAGAGAGGGAGAGAGGGGAGAGAGAAAGAAAGAGAGAGAGAGAGAACCAATACATTTGCATTTTTTAGGGATTTTTCAAAGTCTTCCAATTTTTATATTTTAGCAACAAATTTGATAATAATGCTTGCAAAAGTTAAAAACAGTTCAGTGGGCCAGATTGAGACTGCAATCTGAAAGTTTTTAGCTGTTATATTAAAGAATAGTTTTAAAGAATTGCAACTGTTTCCCTCAAGTAGGCACAATCGTCCCTTGGTATCTGAGGGGGGTTGGTCCATGGATGCTCAAGGCCCTTATATAAAATGGCATAATATTTGCGTGTAACACATGCACATTCTCTCATATACTCTAGATTGCTTATAATACCTACTACAATGTAAATGCTGTGAAGTAGTGGTTATACTGTATTGTTTTAATCTGTCTTTTTCTTTTCTACATCCCCGAGAAACAGATGTTTTAAAATTTGTATTCTTCTTCTTCTTCTTTTTTTTTTTTGTTTAATTTTTTTAAGGACTTCTCATCCATGGCTGGTTGAATCTGCAGATGCGGAACCCGTGGATACAGAGGGCTGACTGTATTGTAACCCTGACTGATGTAAATGCTACCTGCCCAGGAGAACTTAGCGAACGAACTGTAATTACTGGTTTGCTGTTTTATCAGTCTATGAAATAGTTATGGATAATACTTTCATAAGAAGCGCTTTCGTATCTACTCGATGTGGAATGAGGACAGTGAACGCACCTGCTTACTTCTTTTGCTTACCCTACTTGATGTGATGTTCTGACTTGGAACTTCATGAAAACAGTACAGTTATTTATTTATTTATTTATTTATTTATTTATTTATGGCGGAGTCTCGCTTTGTTGCCCAGGCTGGAGTGCAGTGGCGTGATCTCTTGGCTCACTGCAACCTTCGCCTCTCAGGTTCAAGCGATTCTCCTCCCTCAGTTTCCTGAGTAGCTGGTACTACAGACGCGTGCCACCATACCCGGCTTATTTTTTTGTATTTTTAGTAGAGATGGGGCTTCGCCATGTTAGCTAGGATGGTCTCGATCTCCTAACCTCGTGATCTGCCTGCCTCGGCCTCCCAATGCACAGTCATTTATTAAGCAGTGAACTGATGCTGCATCCTGAACTGTATACAGTTTTCCAAGTGTTTCGCACATGTATATGCACTCTCGTAGTGATAGTGACAGGAGGCAGCCAAATGCCTAGGCGGATGGGGGCGGGTCCCCAGTGAAACCCCACCTCCAAGCTGAAGACAGTTTAAAACCTGAAAGCCGCACTACAAGTTAAATCCTCAGACCAGATTGCGAACTTGGCTTCCTGTTTTGCATGCTTTCCTCTGATAGGTCCCCACTTTTCACCTATTTTACATAAAGTTACCCTTTCCTAATTGGTTTTCTACACTGTCATGCCCACCTTTGAGCGGTGTCTTTAATCTTTTTTGTATACCCACAAACCAATCAGCATGCACTCCCCGTTCTGAGTCCGTAAAAGGCCCGGACTCAGCCACATGGGGGAACTTTCCTGCTTTCTGGTAGGGGAACCAACTCTATATCCCCTCCACTGAAAGCCATTTATATTGTTCAATAAAATTCTTCTCCGCTCTCCTCACGCTTCAATGTCCAATATATCCTTATTCTTCTTGGTCACGGTATAAGAGCTCAGGAACTGCTAAACGTGGGTACAAGCTATAACACAGGCAAGCTGGGGCATGCCAGTGTGGCTGTGTGAGGCCTGGGTGGGGCATCACCAGCCAGGGTTCCCCAGCTTGCAAAGTGACTGATATGAAAAATTCTACATCAACAGTGACATGCATTTGTAACCACATGTAGTTTTGGCATTAATTACTAGTTACTCATTACGAGATGTTGATAATGTCCCTTCTCAGAGGCAGACAGGGTGGTTAGTCTCTTGTTCTTGATCTTGGTCCTTTTTATCTATTGTTATCCTGGCTCAGGTCATCAGCTTGTATTGCCATCCTCTTCACTGTCCCAGAGTGTGCCAGTCTGTCCTTTGACATATGTGTTGATATGATAATCACAGCAAAGTGTGTCTCTTAGCTCCGTATCCTGACATTTACATCTGCACAGAGTTCAGTTGAATTACTATTGCCTTACCAATTTCTGTTCCTAACAGCTATTTCAGGAAGTAATACAGTGAGGTGATGCCCTTCACTGTCAATGTTTGAATGCCTGTGAATATCCCCATTCAGTACTCCCTTGGTAAGATGACTTTGATGAGCTTCCATGATTTCTGTGTAGAAAAAAGAACACCTTCTAAGATGTTGCTAAGGTTCAAATGTCTGTTCTTCAATGACTGTCCCCTGCATTTCATTGTAAATATGTCTACTTCCCTACTGCAAGAATATATCCTGTCCCTGGATTGTTCAGATTTCCCTGCCTTTTTAAAGTGGTATCTTGCCCTTTCTTCTACTTTTGCCCTGTTTCCTCTCTTTTTTCCTCCCTATTTTGTCCTCCCAGAGAAACCACTTTTAATCATTTTTAACTTGTAATTTGGGAATTTAACATCATGTCTGTAAACAACATGCTTTCTTTGCTACCACTCGATTTTTCAATTACAGATATTGTTTCTGAAACTTCAAATATGGAAGGTGAAGATTCAGCTCCATTTCTCTCCTGATTCCTGACATTAGATGACCACCTTTCCATTTCCCATTTTTTTCTGATAGAATTAGTTGAAATTTGTTAGACTGGCATTCTGTATTCAATGTCTGTATGATTATGGCTTCATAAGCACTATAAACAATCAAGCCAAGACGTGCACTCTAATTACTTTCTTTTACTTGGACTCTCCTTCCCCCAACTTCGGGTTCATAATTGTCATATTTTTCCTGTTGCTTAGTTTTTTAATGTACTTACTGAAACATTCCAGTAATTTTCTCAGTCTGTTTTTAGTATATTCAGATATGTCAGGTAGTATTAATGTTACCTTTTTGGAGCAATTTCTCTTGGAGTCATCTGACCTGCTATAATCTTTTTTTTTTTTTTTTTTTTTTTTTTTGAGATGATGTCTCACTCTGTTGCCCAGGCTGGAATGCAGTGGCGTGATGTTGGCTCACTGCAACCTCCACCTCCTGGGTTCAAGCGATTCTCCTGTCTTAGCCTCCCAAGCAGCTGGGACTACAGGCATGAGCCACCACGCCCAGCTAATGTTTTGTATTTTTAGTAGAGACAGGGTTTCACCATGGTGACCATGCTGGTCTCGAACTCCTGACCTTACGTGATCCACCTGCCTCGGCCTCCCAACATGCTAGGATTACAGGCATGAGCCACTGCACCTGGCCTGACCAGGTATAATCTTGATCATTTGTACTTCATGTCTATTGCACAACAGGCTTCCTATGATCTTCCTTTAATATTATCCTGGTGATTCCTTTAGTCTGTCCCCTGTTTCATTCATAACCACACCTTCTTTTTTTCTTGGTTTACAGCCTTCTTTGGAGGGGCACATGTGCTGGTAGTGTCCTGTGAAAGGGTGCCTGGGAGATCAATATTTTGAGATAATACATAATTTTAAACATTTCTAATCTTTCTTCACACTGAATTGATAAGGAGCTGCTGATAATTTACCTTCAGAATTTTAAAATGATTACTTCATTGTCTTTTGGGTTCCAGAGTTGTTGAGAAGTCTCAGTCCATTCTCCTTCCTGGTCTTTTGTATGTCACTTCTACTTTTAACCCCTTTGGAAACTTATAGAATATTAATTTTTTTTATTGTCTTAAAATTTCACATTGACATGCTTTGGTATACATTTACTTTCATCCAGTTTGCTGATTACTCAGTATGCCTTTTAAATTTGATTCCTTTTATCCTTCAGTTCTGGAATTCTTCTTGAATAATAATAATATTTATTCTTTGAATGTTTCATTAACCTCCATTTCCTCTGTTCTCTATCCTATTCAGAAATTGGACCTCCTAGACTGTTCCTCTAATTTTCTTATCTTTGTTTTCCTGTTTTTAATTTGTGTCTTTATGTTCTGACTTTCTGAAAGTCCCTCTCTTGCCCTTCCTTCTTTTCCATTTTTTTCTTTGTTGAAATTTATCTCTACTACATGTGAAAGGGATTTACCAAGAAAAAAGTAGAATGAAGGATGTTGATTTGGGGAAGGCTATAATTTTTTTAAAATGAATTTATTGAGATGTAATTAATATCACAAATTTCATCCTTTTAATGTATACAATGTAGCGGTTTTAAGTATATTCATAATATTATACAACCATCACTAGCATCAAATTTTGGAACATTTCCATCACCCTATATACCCTGATAAGAAAACCCATATTCATCAGCAGTCACACCCATTCCCTCCTTGCCCTCCTTCCTGAAAACCAATCATCAACTTTCTATTTCTATAGATTTTCCTATTTGACATTTCATATAAATGCAGTCATACAATATGTGGTTTATGTCACTGACTTTTTAACTTAGCATTATGTTTTCCAAGTTTATTCATTTTGTAGTGTCTGTCAGTAATTTTTATAGTGGAGTTACTGTCCATTGTATGAATATACTATAACTTGTTTATCCATTCATTTGTTTTTGTTTTTTTGTTTTTTGTTTTTTGTTTTTTGTTTTTTGTTTTTTTTTTGAGACGGAGTCTCGCTCTGTCACCCAGACTAGAGTGCAGTGGCCAGATCTCAGCTCACTGCAAGCTCCGCCTCCCGGGTTCCCGCCATTCTCCTGCCTCAGCCTCCCGAGTAGCTGGGACTACAGGCGCCCGCCACCTCGCCCGGCTAGTTTTTTGTATTTTTTAGTAGAGACGGGGTTTCACCATGTTAGCTAGGATGGTCTCGATTTCCTGACCTCGTGATCCGCCCGTCTCGGCCTCCCAAAGTGCTGGGATTACAGGCTTGAGCCACCGCGCCTGGCCCCATTCATTTGTTAATGGAAACTTAGGTTATTTATACTTTCTGGCTATTATGAATAATACTAGTAAATGCTATACACATTCACATACAAGTTTTTGTGTGGCTATACATTTTTCATTTCTCTTGTGTAGGAGTGAAATTGCTAGGGTCGTATGTAATTCTATGTTTAACTTTTTTTTTTTTTTTTTTTTGAGACAGGGTCTCACTCTCTTGTCCAGGCTGTAGTGCAGTGGTGTGATCACAGCTCATTGCAACCTTGAACTCCTGGGCTAAGCAATTTTCCTGCCTAGGCTTCCCAAAATGCTGGGATTGCCGGTGTGAGCCATGATGTCTTGCCACTGTTTATCTTTTTGAGGAACTACCAAACTATTTTCCAAAGCACCTGCACACATTTACAATCCCACAAAAATGTTACAGGTTCCCATTTCTTCAGATCTTTATCAACATTTGTTATTGTCTATATTTTCATCAAAGTCACCCTATTGGGTATAAAGTGGTATTTCATTGTAGTTTTGATTTTCATTTCCCTGATGACTAACGATGTTGAGCATCTTTTTATGTGCTTATTGGTCATTCGTGTATCTTCTTCGGATAAATATCTAATCAATCTTTACAATTTTAAAATTAGATTGTCATTATTGAGTCATGAGTTCTTTATGTATTCTACATAGAAATCCCTTATTAGAGTTATTATTTGCCAATATTTTCTCATTCCATGTGTTGTCTTTTTACTTTCCT